TAGGGCTCTGGCACGAAACTTTATAACAGTTTATTGAGCAATGAGGGGCTTGCCCTAGGAACAATTGCTCCACAGAGCAGAACTGCTTTGAGCTGCTTTTAGCCTCCAGACCATCTGCATCCATCTAAACCGGGTCACAAGAAGAGATCCCAGAAGTTCATTTGCATTTTTACATTTAGGATTTAGTAATAGCTGCAAAATAGCTAAAAATCCCTCCTTCTCCACAATTCTTTGTGATGACCCAGGACATGAAATTTAAAGCAAGTTTCTGGCCATCCATACCACTACATTACACATAACGATCGATTAAAAATATCACTTTGTATTGCCCTGGCCTTAAAACTGTAGAAGGTAGAAATATATAGCCCTTTTTCCCATAAAAGCACTCTCTGAGAGACAAACTGGAAGGGTGCCTGCATGCACATCCATTTGTGTGTGCACACGCACATGTACACATGCATGTGCATTCTACCCCCCAGTCTCTCCATCCACCACATAAGAAAAATGAGCACAATAACGGTGCATGAATGTTGAGATTAATGCTCCAAAGGTGAAAGTATTGTGTTTAATGCTTAATCCATTATCTATGCTACATCTTCTCTTACAATGGACTTTTTTTTTTGCTCTTCATAATAATTTATACTAATAGTTTTCTTTTGGTATTGGCTCAATCTTTTAAATAGAAAAAATAATAATGAATAACACTAGTGTTGTAGCATCGTTTGGCATCACTAGACGCAGTTAAAAATGTGAGAGGGCAGTGACACTCAAGTATTAATGTTAAGATGTTAAGACTTTGTCAGGCTGCATAGACGAAGCAATGTGCTGCCTTTGATAACATTATTCTGTCTGCCAGCTACTATCACTCACTGTCTTCAGTTCTTCTCCCTGTGTTCTGTATGGTCTGTCCACCACAAAATAACAAATATCTAACACAGATTGGACTGACAATATAAAATCTCAGACAGATTTAAAAACAGAAAAATCTATTTTTCTAAATCTGCGTTCCTTTCATGTCCCCACAGGCAGCCTTTTACATGCAGGTGATCAATGAGGAGGGAAACAAGAGTCTTATTTTCTCAACGCAATCTCTTCTCCTATGGCCTATCCCTATTCCCTGTTTTTTCATTTTTTTTCCAGGTGTTAATTACTGGCTTATTAGACTGTTGACTGAGAAAGGCAGAAAGAAAGAGAGCGATAAACAGAGGGGGAGGGGAGGATGCATACAAAGTAGGACACAGGAATACGCCAGGTCCAAAATAAAAATCATCTCTTTGTAGGAGTGCACAAGGGAGAAGGGCTGGAGGCGGAGGGACTCTATAGAGCCAACACTCGTAAATATGAATACTGTTAGTGTATGGGGCAGGTGTATGGAATGTGTATATGGAGCATGGGGGAGGGGATGGGGGGAGTCTGAACTCGTATTTGACTTCACAAAAGGAGAATTCTGGCTGAGTCAGAGCATTTTCACTCCCACTCCTGCCCATCACACCCATCAACCAGAAGCAAGAGGGAGAACTCACAGTGAGAGGGGGTGGGGTAGGAGAGGATTAGGGAGAGTCGTTAGTACTGCAACAGAGTCACAGCATGGATAATAGATTGTTTCAGTGCTTCTTAACCCTTTAGAAACTATAAACCTCTAAGCCTTCAGTCACACACGCTCTAGACTGGCCAGTGACCACATGTTATCAGGTTCTGGTTTGTGTTGTATTTTTGCAAGTTCAAAGCTGCTCAATGAGGAGTTGGCAAATGTTTGCAGACAAGTAGGTATCTTGCATGCGAACTGTGGGTGACTGCTGCTATCTGGTAGTGACCAAAGCAATCACAATGAGATTATCGGAGCAGCACTCTACACTTCTTTCCAATCAATTTCACCTACAAACCAGCAACTACTTGCCAACCTGTCGAGGAACACACATCTTTCCTAGCAAACTGTTGTCACTTCACTGACTTATGTGACTGTTGCTTTGGCAACCCATTTTCACACCAACTGCCACCATCCTCCAGCAGCCACTTGCTGACTGAGGCCTTAGATAGAACCATCGCCATATATATATATATATATATATATATATATATATATATATATGATGCTGATTTGCTTTTCATCACCAACTTATCCACTAGAAAGTAAAATAAAGTGAAATAATTTCATGCAGTATTCTGGATCATATTGTGTGTTATTTGATCAGGGATTCAAAGTCCCAATTTAGTTAGTTTTATTGCCTTTTGTCTCATTCCATGTTTTCTTTAATTAACCCTGGCAGGCAGTGACAGGCATTCTTGTCTCAACTGTACAAGCTTCTATGAAACTTGGTCATTTTTCATCTTTACATTGCCTTGAATTTCTGCAGTTGAACCTATATGTGACATAAGAATAACCTTGCCTAATCTGGAATAGCAAGACATCAATGCAACATCTTCACATCTTTGTCATGTTTCTTTAAAATATATTTAAATAATAATTTTATCTATATTTAAAAATAAAACCCTGTTGAATGTGATTTACCCCTGACACAGAACTAAAATATTAATAACTTCTAAAAAAAAAAACCTTTTGGGGGTTCTGTATGTAAGATGACTCAAATGTAATATGGAGAGAAGGGTGGAGAAAAAAGTCCAGATGACGTGGGAAAACAACAAATTTAGCATAAAATATTTTACAGTTCGGATCTGTTTCGGTGAACCTGTATTTTCGAGTTGTCAAGTTGTGGGTGCCTGAGGAATCGATGTTGAATGCCTTTTACAGAGCTACAGGGCTAAAGATGCAAGACTGATTTTCTTTGTCATGCTATTAGCGGAAACCCTTATCACTTTAAAGCAACTGTCTGTATATGAATGTATATATGTGTTCTTGTGCATGTGTGTTTTCATGCATTTTCATTGCTGACTGCTTCCTCTTTCTAAGTCACTTCCTCTCGACCACAATGCCTCCAGATTTGCCCCATCAAAGAATCATCTTCAAACTGAGGAGCTCTGTAAGCTGGAGAAGGCCACTGATGTGTCCCTGGGCTTTCTCCACTCAACCTAAATCACACAGGCGGACGCACACAGACAACAGCACTGCACTGCACGGCATGGCTTTTGGAAGGTCACTCTAAGAATAGCTTCCAATACATAAAAAAAAGGCTCATATCCAGTTGGGAGCACATGCTGAAATGTGCATGCAAGCAAATGGACACAAAAAAACATGCAATAATTCATGGACAAAGGCACGGACCAAAGCACTCATACTGTCAAACACACACAGATATGTTCCACTGGCTGATGCACAAAGGATATATTTGTGCTCAGCTAAAAGGACAGGAAATTAACCACCTCATGTCCGGCCCAGAACGTCTCACATTCACTACTAAGGAAAGTAAAGTTAGCTGCAAAAAGGAAAGACGGCTAATGGCATTGATTTCCTTTATGCTTGGAAGGAAAAACACCTTGCCCATCTAAGAGACTTTATATGCTCATTTCTCTGACTATGGTTATAAATATTATTGTGGTGATATTTCACAGTTAAAGTAAATGCAACACACAGGTGATGTGATTTAGCAGAACTGGAATAAAAATCATTTCTTGATTAAAAGAAAAAAATCTTTACTCATAACGCAACATTTATCTCTGTTCTCTCGCTCTCTTCTCACACACTTGCTTCCCTAATGTATCAACACTGCCACACCCCTCTTGTTTAGCCACTCCCTGCACGCGCACTGCATATAACAATTAATCACGATACGACAATATATCTTTATCTTGTTATGTTTTAAATAAGACACAAGCTTCCAAACTACAGTAAAGCCTCGCATCCCTGTGCACCTGATCTTTGCAAATGTGCGAATCATTGATTCTTTGCAATAATGTTTTACTGCAGACAGATAAATGCTACAACCACCACTCCGTTCCACCCTTCACTGCTCTCTATTTTGTTGTCTTCTCCTTCCCCCATTCAACAACCTTCAGCATCCTTACTTGCTGTTTTTATCTGCGCTTCTGATTATCACTGAACTCCAGCATGGCAGATGGGTGAATAGAGCTTCTGGAACCATGCTTAACCAGGTCACTGAGGGGTTAACTGTAAGGTTAGCTTTGCCCGTAGTGCCTCGGCTGTCTGACATTCAAATCCTCTGCATCTATCTTTTCCCTATCCTGCCCACTGGTCTACTTTTAAGCCTTCATGCTTGTCACAATAAAATATTTTTTCCTTGTATCCCTTCGAGTGTGTGCATGAATGTAAATGCATGTGTCTTTGTGTTTGAACATGCAGGTATAGGCTTGCAGGCGATACAGAGAGCCCTGATGTGACGTGACAAGTTGAGAGACCAAGCCTTTGGACACTGGCTGAGGGACAGAAGAGAAACCAAATAAAAACAGACATAGCCTTTATAAAATGATACAATGCAACTGCAGATGTCATGTGCCCCCAGCCCCTGCACTTACAATATCACTCAATCATTCTTTAATAATGCACTTTTTTATGATCTATTCATATATTTTTTAAATAATACTCAGGAAAAAAGCAAATACATTAGTGTGGGAGAACAGTGCTGTGACAAGTTGAGCCTGGGAGAGATTGGATTGTCCCACAAAATGAGAGGCAATCTCTTCCTCTGGCTATTTGCTACAGTCATCATTGTCTGGAATGGGCCAATTCACCTGAATGCCTGTCTGCTTAGCTTACCATTATGTGTCCCTCTGTTTCCTTACCTGACCTGTTTCGACTCAGTTCAACTGATTCAACACAGAGCTTGAAATGAAATTAAAATAAGGTTTTAAAAGAATAACTGTAACTAACTATAACCCACCGGGGAGGGCAAAGACACATAATCTTTTTAGCTGGCAGCGATCCAACTGAAGGGCAGTCATCCTGTTCACTACACTTTAGTCTGCAGTCCACTGCTGCAATTAGAAAATGCAGCAATCGCCAGAGAAACAACGTCATGACATAAAAACGACATAAAAAAGGCAAAATATATCATTTGTACACTCAAAAAAATGAATGAGGTGGATTGTTCAGTGTATATTAATTATTTATTTTCATTTTACTTAAAATATATGTTTTTGTTAAGTTAACATATGTTTTTCTAATCAAGTCTACGTAATTGTGTCTATTATTCAACGTACATAATACTAATGTGTTACTTGATCGCATAACATTTAAGTTAAGTCAATGAGGATCGATATACCTTGTATATCCACAAGGTGGCAGTAATGCAAAAACAGTTGTAATGAAACCGCGCAGAACAAGAAGGTTTCACGGCTTGTGCCTGCTCATGCGCAAGACTTCAAATTTAACTGAAAAAGGCTGTTTTGGCGCCAAGCTGCTGTTTCTTTGAGAGGTAAGACCACTTTTTTCTTTGACTATGTTGTGTAGTATCTATATGTCCAGCATGGTTATATTTTGCGTTTGTCTTACAAGACATGTTATATCGTTTGCGTGTGCTTGTTTTACATTAGTTTTACTGGGTCCTGGACATGCTTATTTTGTGGACTGTGTAAGAAACATTTTTATTGTTTTTTGTTTTATTAAGGGATTAGCTACAGGGGTTCATGGGGTTATTCTTTCAAGGGGTTATTTTTCCATTTGCTTTCTTGGGATTCCTTTTCTGTAATCCGAGAGTCGGAAATATCGAATAGGATAGCAAGGATAGCATAAAGTGACATTTAAAATCCAAAAAGTCTAGGGCGAAAGCCACTGTGACACCATTGTTCTGCTCTATCAGTAATCTGTATTATGTAAAAATGGTCTGTAAATACAGCATGTTTCCTAGCGGAGTTATACATATCAATGTAGTTATAAATTACAGTTTGTGAAAGTACACACTTAATTTTTTTAATAAAATTATTCAAGACATATGAGTGGACAGACAATGGAGGTCGACAGACCTGGTGATAATTGCTTCTATAGAAAGTTAGCACATGGCAGTGTCAATCTCTTGCTTTTCTTCTGAGTAGTATTTTATTTAGTTGTAATTCAAACAATAATTTGCTTCTTGAAATTAAGTAATGAATTTCTTGTTTTACTTTATAAATCTCAGATCCTGCCTTTACCTGCTCCCTCCTATACTGATGTGGTGTATGTGGTACTGCTGAGCTTGTATGTGGTATGTGAACTGTTATACTTTTAAAAACAAAACTGTTTTATAAGTTAAGTTTTCTTTAGTGACCCATCCCATGCCCCTGTTATTTCGTCTCCACATCTGAACCATGGTAAAGGTTGCAGTTCAAGGGCCTGAGGCATGAAATTCTTTTCAGATCAGCTGTGACCAATATTTTTTGGAACTTGATAAATAACAATAAAAGCTGCAATGGCTCCATTTGCATTTTGTGTAAATGTTTGTGTTAAAATTATAGCTTTAATGAGGTCTTTCTACATTAGTTTTAGTTTGTATATGTGTACATATAGTATGTATATTTACAGTACAGTATGTTGTGTTTGTTGACATATTTTCAGGTGGAAGCAGAATATGTGAGGATTACTACTGCTGCACATGTTCCAAGGCTTTTTACACAACTTGACCAATACACTGACCAGCTCATAAAAGTCTTCAAGAAAAAAGGAGGCGTTGCAGGGAAGAAAATTAGACAAACTTTGGCCCCAGCCACACAGGTGCGTTATTCTGTTGGTAGCAAAATATTATGGCTAATAAGATCATTTTCAAATTTAAACAGCTAGTGTATGGTAGCTGCACAGTGCACTTACATTTATATTAAGCAAGACAAAGTTTGGTACTCAAAACGTTGGAAAATTTAAATTACCTAAACATATGTAAAATCTGATCCCTTGATTTAGGTTAAACCAGAAGTGAATGTTTTTATGTTATGTTTTGAATGCAAAAAAGATGATGTATTAGTTTGTCTTTACCTCCATTATGGACATATATAATGTGGTGGAAACCCTGCCCAACAGGTTAACTATTCATGTCCATGTGATGATTAGTTGGTCTTGTGTACATGTCTATCTGTGCAGTGGATATGTCATTCATTTTGCGTATAATGTGAGTTTCTGTCATCCTAAAGTACTTCTGTTTTCTCTTCCTGTATCTCTGCCACTCTCTACAGAAGGAAACCATTGAAAAGGGGAGGGAGTGTGTCCTCAGGGCACTACCTTTTTACCTGAATGAAGACTCAAGCATCCTCTTCAAAGAATAATTGGTTGGTAATTTTAGTTTAGTTTTTTATCTGTATTAAACCAAATTTTGAATAACTAATGTTGTTGCATGTTGTAATGTTGTTGTTGTTGTAATTTGCATGGAACCTGTTTAAATGTTTTGGGAAATCTTCTTGTATACCCAAACTATTTATATTTATCGTTGAATCTGTAGTCTGAAATAGTGGCACACTGGGGTGCATGTTCCTAATATTGTGTTTACGTCATTAAAGGGTAGCTTTGGCCCTTTTTCTTTCTTTTTTTAAAACTGGATGCCATTTTTCTATGTTTTTGTGTCTAAGCTACAGCTGTTCAGAGGGAGCTGGAACAAATTACCCTTGCTATCTTTACCATCGAAAGAGCTGATGCCAGCACTCCTCCAGCCGATGTGGGTATAACCATCTAGTGTGTCCTGCATGACCTGGAAGACCTGGCCTCTGCATGTGCACTCTTAATGGGTGGGATATATGCACTGAATCTCAGTTAACCTCAAGACTGAAAGCTAAGAGACAATCAAAAGTATTGAGATTTAAAGGATTTAATTGAGAGATGATACTGCACCAGAAATGTTGGAGGGTGGTGTGTATATTAGCGTTCAAGGCATATTGTTATGAGGTGGAAATATGTTCATATTCAGTTTGTGTTACATTGTGTGCATTGTAAAGGTAATTGCAATACATACTAAAAATAAGGGTAAGTTAGGAGGTTGATCTGATATCCCCGTGTTGGTGTTGTTCCCAGATCATCATACTAAATGTTGTTCCAGGATCAACATTGCAAGTGACCAATCAGAATGTTGTGACGTCATACTTTTGCGACTTCGGGAAAAACCGGCGTAAAACAAAAAACTGTACTTAAGCTGCGTGAATCCGCCTCTGTCCGCTGATCAACTGACCCTGACCCTAACCCTTTAATAAACAGTAAGCAGAATTGATATTGTCCTTGCAACATTGGAATTTCATAAATGCACAAATGGCTTGGAATAGAATAACGTCACAACAATGTGATTGGTCACTTGCAATGTTGAACCTGGAACAACATTTTCATGATGGTCTGGGAACAACACCAACACGAGGATATCAGATCATCCAAGTTGGGAATGCAGGATGAATGTATATTTTGTGGACTTTTAAAGACGAACAATTGTTTCCATGTTAAAATGTTTACATCTGAAGTTTTTTGCCCAAACACTGGTAAAATAAATGTTGACAGTGGCAAGTGTTAAATGGTTACTGCTGTGCTGTTGCAAAAAAACTGAACGCTGACAAGCTGTTTTATTGTTAGACCATAATGTTGGCATGTTTTGTTAAAGTTTTATTTGGGATGGTGATGTAATTTTCTTTGATTGCTAATATCAGTGGACTATTTATTATTATTATTATTATTATTGTTGTTGTTACATAATTTTTTTTTTAAATTGTGGCTGTTGAGGTGGACACTTCACTTTGCATTGTTAAAGGAAAGCACTTCATTGGCATTGTGTTACTGGACTGACCCTAAGCAATCATTGCAAATAGCAACTTTGCTATCCATTTTAGACACTAAAAGAAAAAAAACACTCACAGACCTTACTAGCATCACATGTGCATGACTCAAGTGTCATCTTATCAATGTGTTATGTGATCTTCAATGCGTTTTTTTTTTTCCCTTCTATTTCTGGCAGATACAGACATTTAATTTAAAGTCTTGATGTTGCATCTGTCTACATACTGTTAATTACTAACCCTAATGAGCTGTTGTGTTTTATTTTGGACTGGGTTTACACAAATGCTCACTGAATGTGTTGGCAATAAAATAAATTTTAAAAAATAAGTTGGATGTACTTAATTCATTTGTGTGGAACCTGTTGACAAAATAGATTTATGTAAAACTAATTAATAAAGCACAAGGTGGCTGAAAATATAATATTTGAATTAATCTAACTTAAATTTAACATTTTACTGCCACAAATAAGAAATGTGTTGAAGTAACTAATCTAAACTATCTAACCTGAAAATATATCATCTATGTTCATACAACATAACTTGATTTAGTTAGTCTTAAATATGTCTTGTTAATCTTAAGTAGTTTTTTTAAATTAGATGAACTAAAGATTTTTGCTTTAAACTAACATAATTCAATTTCGTGGAACCTGTTGACAAAATAATTTTAATTAAAGTCAACGTTTCATTTTTTTGAGTGTAGGATATCTTTCAACCATAAGAAGGATTACACTAGTATAGTTATATTTATATATAATACATAAATGTCACATTCTACATGTATAATTATATATATGTGACATTTTAATGCATTTTTGGATAAAATAAAAAAGAGAAAATTAAAAACGAAATGCTATATAATGAAATTCAAAAGTCAGAATAAAATCACGCATTACTGTGCAAAGGCTTTTAGGCACTTGACATGTACAATCAGGAAGGTGTGCAAGTTTCATGTTGCTGCGTGACAGTGATCCCAAACATACAACCAGAGTCATAAAGGCTCTACCGACCCTACCTTGAAAAGCTGCGCCTCGGTGAACTGAACCTGAATGAACTCGTGCTGTTTTAAAGTCAATGGGTGGCTACATCATATTTATTCAAGACATTACTTTAGAGAGACTTCACTTTTAGTGTCTAGCGAAAAAGTAATGCACTGCATTGAACATCAAACGACTTCTCTATTGAATTTACTGCAGTGGAATTAAAAAGCAGACTCTCTACTTTCTAAAATCTACTTTCAAAGATGTGGATTTAGAACTGCAACGATCAAGGGAATGATGCAGAAACAACTAGATCACCAGCTTTGGAGATTTCTAGAATCATTGTTATTATTATTATTATTATTTTCAAACCTAAGCAGAAAGCTTAATAGGGCTGAATATGATGCAGCATATAAAGTATTAGTCCCGCGCTATGCATTGCGTGACAGTTGAGATGAGTGGGTAATTATAATGCCCTAACTGACTGCTTTTTGAGACAGATGTTGTGTTCACGAATCTTGAAGCAGGTCAGATACCCAAACTGACTGCAAAATGAGACAAGAGGTCTCTCAGCCACAGTCAAGGTTCTCTGCTATGACAAGAGAGCAGATGGCGGTTTGTGGAAATAACAACTCAGATCAAAAGGAGAGAGAGGCAGAGGACTCTGAAAATTCTCCACTACAGCTCATCCTCTTACATAGATTGCCTTTTCATGTTGTCACTTTAAACATTCATTCATTAAAAACGAAAAAAAAAAAATAAATCCAAAGACTTTTCTTTCTTTTTTTTTAAATTATCTTACACAAATACAGTTTAAGCATTTGGCATTGTGATGCACATCCTCTACTTACACCAGAATACTCTTTATGCTGCTTTGTGTGTCAGAGAGTGTGCATGCACATAACACTTGGTGACATTCTGCTAAACTGTGGCAAATTATACAATGGCTGGGTGAATTCAGTAACTCCTGTGGGTACTTTGTATATGAGTGCATGCAAGTATGTATATGTCACAGAACAAGCTGAAAATAAAGATTTACAACAGCAGTGTGCATGCCGTTAGATAATTAAATGATTCTTATTTTATGAAAGTAATTTTATTTTGTTCAAAAGGAATGTGGCAAAAGGAAAGACAAAAAAAAACATTTAAAAGATCTGATGCTTCACGGTGTTTTGTCACAGTTTCTATTTGTCACATTTAGAAAATAATGGATTACCTAACAGCAGTAACAGCTTTTTACTCCCCCAGCAAGCACTTCAAAAACAATACACAATATATAACCTCCAAATTAACTGTTTGTCAGAGGAGAGCATTCCACCTCCACCATCTGGCATTATAAACTGTTCTAATGTTAGCTCTATAACTTTTAAAATGAACACTATAAACTGCACCTACCCTACAAAAAGAAAGAAAAAATAAATAAAAACAGAACAACAAAAGGTAGAGAACAATAAACCACATTTTAAGGGCATTTAAAACCAGCCATACTAGGTGTTTCACTTTACAACTTTTCTTTTTTTACTGCTGGACTCTAAAAACTGTAAAGCTGTACGCCTACTGAGTATACCAAACTAGATGTCCTATCTGCAAGCAATGATAAAGACAAGCAGACTTCAATTAAATGAATATAACAGGAGTTAAAGCTAAAAACTACTTGTACATCCATGTTTTTAAATAACTCTTTCAGAAACATATATTTAAAAGTTGACAGTTGGGGCAAATAGACGCTGCAATTGCTGCCCTTCCTTCCAAGCAATTTAACATTAGAGATTACAAGAGAATGTTTTAATTGCATTTACAAAACAGACATTTACTGTAACTTTCAGTCCCTCTGGATAAAGCAGCTAATCTAATGAGAAGGAACTTTTCTCTGGTCTAAAGTTAATCTCTGTGGCAGGCATTAATGCATTCACAAGGATCGCATTTCCCTGCCAACCATTAAATACATCAGTCTCTCACTGGCATCTTATGAATATAAATATAGCCATAGATATTTCCAATCTTATATCTAAAATATGCAAGCAGGAGGAAAATGTTGAATGGTGAAAAATGCTGAGAACTGACAGAAAACTTGAGTGAGCGATATTCCCTGAGATGAATGAGATGCCATCTTTGAATACTGTTATCCAGTTCGTGTAAAACTGAAAAGTGCCATCCCACTCTGCAGCAAAAAAATTCTATTGAACGTCTGTCTATCGATCTTGAAGGGGAAGCGAGCCATAGGTAGCCCTTATGGAGTTTACTTGAAGCAGTGGGCTCTAAAAATGAATAAAATCCACGATGGATCATCCCTCTGTCTCTCTAAATGTTCACGCTGTACCCGACAGCAACAGCTACCAACACATGTGCTGTAACTAGTTAAAGATCAGTCAAGGACAAAGAGTGGTGGTTCTGTGGGAATGATTAACTTTCTATGGTAATACGATGTATAGATGTGTCCGCCAAATAAAAACACTGATGCATTCAAAGGTTTTTATGTATGAAATTCTACTGCACGTCACATGAGAGATTACCTATGCTGGGTAAAGACTGATCATGATTTATGATGGGTGCTTGACTTGCAGTCCTCACATGCTAGAGAAACCCTGACTGTCCTAACTGAATAAAAGAGAGTTTTAATTAGAATTTTTCAGCAGCTTATTTTCTTACCAGACACAGTCCTGACAATCTCAGAGGTGTTCCTCAGGCCCACAAAGGAGAACTGGTAGAGCCTCCAGGAGCGAATGTCCCCAACCTCCACTGAGCTCCTTTTCCACTTGTACACAATCTCCTCCCTGGGGTAGCCATCTGAAAAAGGGAGGACATGGAGATTACTTCAAACTCATTAAAGGCAGGAGAGAAGCTCAAGACTCGACTGCATAGCTATGCTGTCTTTTATTTTAGAGTAATCCGTGTCCACCAAGTCGGCAAGCTTGCAAATAAAATGTTTCATGAAAGAAACATTATATAACAGACTCCAGCACAACATGTTGACAAAATATCCAGTCCATCTGTGGGGCGAAAACGTCTTTGTCACTAACATCACTTAAAAGCAAAGATTACAACACAGCTCTGTAGCTGGCGATAAGTTGGATTTCTATAATTTTATTACTTCCAGCA